TTTGAATTTGCGCATCTGAAAAAGTAACACTAGAACACGCAAACTTTGAATAAATCACAGATCATGATGAGGAGCCTCTTCTGTTTCTATGATTTTAAATCTGACTTCTGTGTGTATTATTTTGATCTGTATGTTTTTAAAATGTGAAGCGCTTTGTGATCCTGGACAGTGAAAGGCTCTATACAAATACACTTTACGCGACAGGGATGTGTGACCCAGCTATTGCTGTGGCAGGCTCTACACTGCGTAAGTACGCACGGCTATTTGTATTCCTCACATCTGGTAAAGCAATGTATGTTTTCATTAGATTTGTGTAAGCCTCACACAGACACACACCCCATTAACGCATGGACCGATGGACTACGGTATTGCTCACTCCAAATGTCTCACTGCCCTGTCCACCCGCTGCACACTCTTGGGAGTGCATACACAGCAGGTGCCATGAGAGACGCGCCACATAACTCCTCAAATGCTGTCATTCAGAAGTTTTGGCTCCAGAGTTTCTCTGTAAAATCTGGACCGCAAACGTTCTCTCTGTACAGCGCTTCAGTGCATTCACAAGACGCTGCAGACGCTTCATTGATGAGAGCCACCGCTGCACACAATATATGAATTCATTCATTCATTCTTTGTTTATTCACTTCTACAATCCAAGAGAGATTTTTATAATTTATCAAAACATTTCTGCAAATTTATGCATGAACAACCTGTGGCAGACCCTGCGCCGTACACGTAATTACGCATATGTTTTGCCTCATTCATCTCTGGCAAAGCAATGTGGGTTTTCCTTAGTTTTGTGCATAAAGCCCCATAAATGCACCTGATCTTGCTCATAACTGTCTCAGGCACTGCCCTTTACTCCGCAGCAGAGATGGGATGCGACGCGCACCAGCAGTATAGTTCATTCATTCATTCAGGTCATTTATTATCTATTTATTTACGTCGAAATTTCAGGAGAGATGAGTGCTGCAGTGGGTCTAGACACTAGGGAAAAATGTGTATATATAATATAGCATAATATTATTATTTTTTTAAACGTGAATAAACTCAAAAGTGCGTGCTTTTTGCGGCTTTTTAGCAGACTTCCTGCTGACCTGTCGCAAAAACAGGGCGTGGAACAGGCAGTTTTTGAATATTTATAGGCGTGACTTTCATAAATACGCTGGTTTTGAGTGCGGCATTTATCAACAGCCGCAGGTGCGTACGCTCAGATCTGTGCGGATCTCACACCCAAAATGTACACCTTTTTCTGCGCAATTTTCATACATGAGGCCCAATGTCCCCATAACACAGCTGGAGTGACTGTTGTAGAGTTGAATTGTGTTAAAGTCCATTTAATTGGTCCCCATGAAGGAATTGAGAGGGGTGTGAAAAGGTCCCCATGAGACGTGTCCCAGACCCTAGATGTGTGTGTGTACAAACAAGTTGGTTTTACATCTGTTAAACTATGATTTGTGTACTGCTGGTAGTACTTGGGCCTGCATGGGTGGTTCTAATCATTTTAATTTGTGATCTCTATTTTATACTGTGATTATTTTAGTGTTCTATTGTAAATCCTCATACCTTCTTTCTCCCACTGTTGACCCATGTGACGTTTTTGATCATTCTGACCATCCTCAGTCCCACATTAATAAGTCACTTGGAAACTATGCCTCTCATAAACGGGAAAGATCATATTTAGTGTGAGTTTCTTGGTCAGTTCTGAGCAAGGTTTTTTAACCTTTGAAGACAATTACACATAACAAGATGTGTTATGTTTAACTCATTAAACTATATTCAGTAAGTGGATTAGTGGAAGGAGAAAATGTTTAGCCTTTTTTGGTCATGGCGGACAAAGACTTTTTACTCAAATGTTTCTTTTAAATGAACCCTCACGATATCCCCATAATACACTTTGAGTGACTTCTGTTGAGTTTAATCATTTGTGAGTTCATTGAAATGGTCCCTGTAAAGAAAGAATGGAAGTGTGTGAAATGGCCCTCACAATGTCCCCATAACACACCTGGAGTGACTGTTGTTGAGTCTTAACATGTGTGAAAGTCCATTGAATTGGTCCCCATGAAGGAACTGAGGCGTGTGAAAAGGTCCTCATGAGACGTGTACCCGACCCTAGATGTTTGTGTGTACAAACAAGTTGGTTTTACATCTGTCAAACTATCATTTGTGTACTGCTGGTGGTACTTGGGCCTGCTTGGGTGGTCATAGTGATTTTAAATTGTGACCACTGTTTTATGCAGTGATTTTTTTAGTGTTCTATTGTAAATCCTCATACCTTCTGTCTCCCACAGATGACCCACGTGACAGCAGATGGCACTACTATAGTTTTTTTTTTTTATCATTCTGATCAACCTAAGTCCCACATGAATAAGTCATTTGGAAACAATAACTCTCAAACAGGTAGTATCATATTTATCAATCATCACAAAATACCAAAGGTTCTATGTTAGTGCTGAGAAAGATTTTTAACATTTGAAGTCAATTATATAAGATGTGTTATGTGCAACTCATTAAAATATATTCAGTAAGTGGATTTTTGAAAGAATATTTTTAGCTATTGTTGGTCATGGCAGACAGACTTTTTACTCAAATGTTTCTTTCAGATGAACCCTCACAATGTCCCCATAATACACTTTGAGTGACTGCTGTTAAACATGTGTGAAAGTTCATTGAATTGGTCCCCATGAAGAAGGAATAGAAGTGTGTGAAATGGCCCTCACTATGTCCCCATAACACAGCTGGAGTGACTGGTGTTGAGTTGAATCGTGTCTGAAAGTCCATTTAATTGGTCCCCATGAAGGAATTGAGAGGCGTGTGAAAAGGTCCCCATGAGACGTGTCCCAGACCCTAGATGTGTGTGTGTACAAAAAAGTTGGTTTTACATCGGTCAAACTATGATTTGTGTACTTGGACCTGCTTGGGTGGTTCTATTCATTTTAATTTGTGATCTTGGTTTTAGACTGATTATTTTAGTGTTCTATTGTAAATCCTCATACCTTCTGTCTCCCACAGATGATCCACGTGACAGCAGATGGCTCTACTGCAGGTTTTTTTGATCATTCTGACCATCCTCAGTCCCACATGAATACGTAATTTGGAGACGATGCCCCTCAGAAACAGGTAGGACCATATTGAACAATCATGACAAAAAAGTTCGTTGTCAATTCTGAGGAAGCTTTTTAAGATTTGTTATGTTTAACTCATTAAACTATATTCAGTAACCCTAACCCAGTAATTAGTGGAAGGAGAATATTTTTTTGCCTTTTTTTGGTCATGGCAGACAAGGACTTTTTACTCATGTTTCTTTAAAATGAACCCTCAAAATGTCACCATAATACACTTTGAGTGACTTCTGTTGGGTTTAATCATGTGTGTGAGTTCATTGAAATGGTCCCCGTAAAGAAGGAATGGAAGTGTGTGAAATGGCCCTCACAATGTCCCCATAACACACCTGGAGTGACTGCTGTTGAGTTGAATCTTGTGTGAAAGTCCATTGGATTGGTCCCCATAGAGAAGGAATGGAGTGGGGTGTGAAAAGGTCCTCATGAGACATGTCCCAGACCCTAGATGTGTGTTATTTTGCCAGTTTTTGTCTTGATTGTTAATTCGTTTTTTTATTTACAGATTCTTGCACTGCTCACATGGGAAGTTGATAATGTACCAAAACTGAGAAGGACAAAAAGTCTCATAGTAAGTCAGAACAAAATGTACCTATGAAACTTGTCATCCACTGAAGTTAAATGTGTCCATTCATTTATTTTTTAATTATTTTTATTTCACTGAATTCCTTTCCGTTTTTAGTTTTTCTTAGTTGTTCAAATGTTTTTTTCTTGTTTTATACAGATGAAAGGCACAAATCATCTTGACAGACAGTTCAGACAACTCTGTCCCTGATCCTACTTTGTCAACTAACAAAATTACAACCCAATTTTATTATGAACTCCTTCTTGATGATCCTAACCCTGCAAACAACTTCAGACAAGATGCCAAGTCAGCTGAAACATCCTCTGCAGTTGAACTCAGTTCAAGTCATGCCACTACAGATATTGTTGTTAAGGCAAACAACAAAAATGGTGTACAAATAATATATGACAAAGGACATTATTGCTTTTACTGTTCTAAGCCTTATGCAAAAATAGCAAGGCATCTAGAAAAATCACATGTTGATGAATCTGAGACCTTGAGCACAAGCCTTGAATGAGTAAAGTAGGATTTGTTTGTACAATGTTTACAGAATTTCTAAATCCCCGGGGAGGAGGCCCCGGGGAAGACCTAGGACACGCTGGAGGGACTATGTCTCTCAGCTGGCCTGGGAACGCCTTGGGGTCCCCCCGGACGAGCTGGAGGAAGTGTGTGTGGATAGGAAAGTCTGGGCGTCTCTGCTTAGACTGCTGCCCCCCGCGACCCGGCAACGGATGAAGCGGAAGAAAATGGACGGACGGATGTTTACAGAATTTTTAAACATCTTTGGGAGAATTTGTTTGAGTGGGATGCCTTTTATAATGGGATTTGATATTACAAAATAGTTTAATACTTGTTTTTACCTTTTGAATAAGTGAAGCAAAATATCTTTTCATCAAGAAATAAACTTCACAAGCCTTACAACAAAAACTATATGGTTAATAAAGGCACATTTACAAAGAGTCTGCATTCTTTGCTCTTAATAATGTACTTTAATGGAGACTTGCGGTGGCATCGAGCTGAAAATTCGAAGATTCTACAACTAGAGACAAACACGGATGTACTCTGAAAATGAGCAGGGATAGACAAACAAGTCCGGGAAGGGAATTATGGAGAAGAAATTGGATTCAAGCTCCAATTTGGATAACCTGGCTAACGCGACACACCACGATGTCGGGAAGGAAGCTAGCGTTAGCACTGTATCCACTGATACCACCATTATCCGCACAATTATAAGTGAAGTTATGACTAAGGGACTGGAAGACATAAGACAACAGGTGGCATGGGATTTGACCAACTTTCGGGAAATAATCAAGGATGATATGAAAACTCAGCTGGATGCCCTCAATGCTAACATCAACCAGAAGCTAGAGGCCGCTACCAGCCAGATAGAGGATGCTACACGGCGCCTGGAGGAGGTGGAAAGAAAAGCGGCTGGAGCAGAAACGTGGGACTTGGCCGTGAGGGACACTTTACTTGACCTCATTAACAACCAGAGAGATTTACAGTCAAAGATGTCAGACTTGGAGGGCCGCTCTCGGCTTAACAAAATTAGGACCTACGGTATTGCAGTGAAAACCGAGGGAACGTCAACGGCAGCTTTTATTGAGAGCTTCATATTGAATGAACTACGAGAGAGCATCGGTATTCAAAGAGGCGCAGATCTTGGAATAGAACGGGCTCATTGAGCTCTGGGACGACAGCCACCAACGGGCGCGCCACCGCGCTCGATTGTTATTCGCTTTCTGAGTTACACAACTAAGGAGAAGGTCCTCCAGGCTGCATGGAAAAAACAGATGTTCATCCAGAACAAACGCGTCTTCTTTGATCACGACTATGCAACAGATGTACAGCAGAGAAGAAAGGAATACGCCCCAATAAAAAAGTTGTTGAAAGAGAACCAGATCCGCTTCCAGACACCGCTAACAAGGATCCGCATTCACTTCGACACGGGTTCTGTTACCTGTAATGATCCCCACGCAGCGGCCACGGAGCTGGAGAAACGGGGATTTTCGGTTGGGCCAATTCGAGCGAAGAAGCCAGCGAACCATAACGCTGATACGCTGTCTAAACTTCTACCGTGGCGCACCGTGGGCCTGCGCCGCGCTGTTTTAGACTACCAGGAGAGCATCAGGGAGAGACTGCATGGGTTCCAGCGATCCGAGCAGGATAATGAAGATGTTTAAGGACACTGTGGACTTTAATCATGCGGTCTACGCCGTGTAAGTAAGATTAATGGACACTCATGTACATCTGTGTTGGTTATCTCGAACGATCCCCTTAGTCCTAAATTTTCGTTTACTTAATGGTTTAACAAGTCATCCCGAGACGTAACTTGAGTCTATAATAGAAGGCTGATTCAGTGCGCGTCCTAAATGCCCACCATAGTTACTCTAAGTTACTTTTTTTCTTCACATAGATCAGGAAACAAAAGGGGAGTTGCTACTGTATATTAATCTTGAGATTAATATTAATCTAAGATCAATTTTGAGCTGATTTCCGAGACCAAAGATAAAGAAGGTCGATATATCCTTGTTAGGGGGAAAATAGATGGTAAACCAGTAACTTTAGTGAACTATGCTCCCCCTGGAAGCCCTATATCCTTTAAAAATGTTTTTGATCTTATAGCACTTGGGAAGTGTGGTACCTTGTTGTGTGCGGGAGATCTAAATATGATAATGGACCACAAACTGGACACAACAAATCCTAAAAGGATCAAGACGGCTGTTGAGTCCTGGGCGGGGAAAAAAAAGGACGTGTGGCGAGGCCTGCATGGTCGAGAGAAAGATTTTACTTTTTATTCAGCCCGCCATAATATGTATTCTCCAATTGACTATTACTTAATGTTTAACAGTGAACTTAACAGAGTGAAAGAATGTAAAATTGGACAAAGGGACCGCTCTGACCATGCAGGGCTCTACCTAACGTTACATCTAGACACTCATAAAAATTGGAGAATGAATATCAGCATTTTCAACAGTGACGAAAATAAAAAAGACATTTTGGAAGACTATAAAGGAATTCTTATCCTATAATGATAATGAAGAAGTCAGTTCACCTATTCTATGGGACACAGCCAAACAGCCAAGGCCTATCTTAGAGGAAGATTCAGATTCAGATTCAGTTTATTTGCCATTTGCAGTAAAAAAAACACATTGGAATACACTAGCAAAAGTCTCCAGTGTGCACAGACAAATACAGACAATAAAAGACAGAAATAAAACAAATAAAACAGTAAACAAATGTCACTGTGAAATCGATCGACTAAACCAGTTTCAAAACAAGTGCAAATCATTAAAGTGCTCTGTTCACACTGATCACAGCTTGTGGATAAAAACTGTTAGCGTAACGAGATGTCCTGCATCTCAGAGAGTGATATCTTCTGCCAGAGGGAAGAAGCTGGAACATGGCTTTCCCAGGGTGGCCAGAAGAGTCATTAACAATCCTAAGAGCTTTGTTTAACAGTCTGGATTTATAAAGAACCTCCAGAACAGGAAGCTCACAGCCCACGGTCCTCTTTGCAGAGCGGAGCACCTTGTTTAAAGCTCTCTTTTCTTTATCTGTGATGTTTCCAAACCACACAGACACAGAACCAACAAGTAAACTCTCAATGGTGCAGCCATAAAAGTTAAGCACAATCTTAGAGTTAGTGGTAAATTCTCTAAGTTTACGCAGAAAGTAGAGACGCTGACGAGCTTTCTTAACGACTCGGTCAGTGTTTTTAACCCATTTCAGGTTAGACAGAGTTAAACCCAGAAACTTGCTCCTCTACGATCTGCACCTGGGAGTTGTCGATTACGACAGGCAAATGAGAACTATTGCGACTGAAGTCGTAGACACATGTTTTGGATGCGTTCAACTGGAGGTTGTTAGTTTGACTCCACTGAACCACATTTTGTATCTCTGCTCTATAAGAGGATTCATCATTGTCACTGATGAGACCGATGATGGTGGTGTCATCAGCATATTTGATGATCAAGTTTGAGTCAGAGGAGGACACACAATCGTGACTGTACAAAGTAAAAAGCAAAGGACTCAAAATACATCCCAGAGGAGAACCAGTGCTCACAGAAACAACATCAGAAAAACAGTCGTTGATTTTCACTCTCTGAGATCTGTCAGTTAAAAAGCTAAAAATCCATTTACACATGGCAACACTTAAACCGAGAGACATGAGCTTTTCAATCAGTTTACCTGGGACAAAGCATTTGCTTAGAAAAGAGGCTCCATCTGTGAGTCCCCTGACACAGATATTGAACCGCATAAGAACAATGGAAACTAGGGATGCACCGATCCGATACTTGTATCGATATCGGCGCCGATACCAGAAAAAATACTGGATCGGATATCTGCGTAGATAGAGGCGCCGTGCTGCCGATCCATTTTCTTTTCTATTTTTTTTTAAATTATATATATTTTTTAATACATACCAGGTACCGCACAATGTCTTAAAATACATTGTGCATAATGTACATATACGTATAAAATGAATGAATTAAAAGTAATGTATCAGATCTGACGTACACGTCACTTCCTCGTGGCGCTCTACAACAACAACAACACAGCATGGAGCGCAGGAATGAGCGTTGTTCACGCGGCTGTAAACTAGCGAAATACAACACGACTAAGCACCACGAGAAACAGCATGGGGAGTTTTTGCATCGAAAGGAGATTACGTGAAAACAACGAGACACAGATGACACTGACGCAGCGTCACAAAAAGCTTTTCAGCAACAACCCCAAAGTGTTGGAGTTCATCATGGGCTCGCAGCCCCATAGACCATTAGGAACCCAGGTCCATGCCGTCGCCAAATACATATCTGAAATCCAGTTAAAGCTACGGTACTATTATTTATTTACATTTTCATGCAGCGTGTTTTGTTTGTTGTGTTTATTTATTCAAACACAGTTAATATAAGTACATTTATATTCAGTAAATGTATAAGGTATAATACAGTGTTGGAATGTTTAATGTGAACATTGAGCAGCTCTATATAGTTGCAGTATTGCACATTTATGTTGAATCCATTTTTATCTGGAAAGTTTAGTGCTTTAGTTCATCCACTGCTTTTGCAGTTACTTGAACAAAGAGTTACATTATTAAATACATTTTAGCATGATCATTTCCGGTATCGGCAGAAACCCATAGCTCTGGTATCGGTATCGGTATCAGTAGTAAAAAAGCTGGATCGGTGCATCTCTAATGGGAACTAATGGGAATGACTCTTAACCTTCATCTACAACGTCACAAATGTTTCATACAATCAACTGACAATGTCATCTGTGAAATATGATCTGCTATTCGAAATAATGTCATCTGCTGTACATGTATCTAATCCTACTCTCTGATAATGTGTGCTCTGTATTTCTCTTTTGTTTTTGAATGTTTCCAAAGAGTTAAAAATGTTAAAAAGTAAAATTTAAAAAATAAAAATAAAAATAATGTACTTTAATAATTTAAAAAGGTCCCCATGAGTAAAATACAAAAGTGTGTGAATTATGCAAATGGTATGCAAATCTGGTCCTCCTAAGTGACATTGACTCGTTTTTTTGTAGGTCCCCACAATACATTGTTAGAATATTGTTTCATCGATTGAGACATTTTAAGATGTGTATATGCTTACAATGTTATATTAAGTAACTCAATTTTTTGTTATGACTCTAGAACAGGGGTGTCAAACTCATTTTGGTCCGGGGGCCACATATAACCTAATCGGATCTCAAGTGGGTCGGACAAGAAGATGCTCTACAAAAATACCCAAAAATGGTACAAAGTCCAACTTTTTGTGCACATAAACACATTTATTTAAAACAATGTCCTTTAATACTCAGTTTTAACTGTAAATCTGTTACAAACTTAAATGTAACAGTGAGTTTTTCACAGTGAAAATAATGTAAGTATTTACAATATTACATTGAAAATGGTATTTCACAATATTTATATTAATATGTGTTTGTTAGCTTAGTTTTAAGGCTCATTACAGAGAAAACTTGCTCACAAAGGTAAAGTAGGTAGATAGAAAAAAGCACTAAAACACAGCACCTCGGCTTAACCATCTTCAGTGTGGTAAGGTCCAGGGTTATGTTATTATCACATTAAAGGAATAGTTCACCGTTTTTACATACTGACATATGTTCTTACCTTACCTTAGACTAGTTAATACGTACCTGTCTGGTCTTAGTCCGTGCGCTCTGTCATGCAAACGGAGCAAAAACGGGAGCACAAATGCAGCCTCCTCTGTATATTTTGTAGCACCAAAAGGTAGCTCCCGCTAGAAGCTACCAAACTCTTCCAAGTGTTCCCTATTAAATGTATATAGTTACGTGACGTGTTACACTGCAAAGTATAGTAACACAGAAATGTAACTGTCGATTTTCTCAGCGGATAAAACGGGTACTATATTGTGAGGCGTAGTAATCTGAGGTGCGCTACGTCCGCGCACTAACTTCTCTCCGTACTACAAGTCACGCTGCTTCTATTGACGGAAGTGAGCGAGAGAGAAGTCTCCGGAGAGAAGTTAGTGCGCGGACGTAGCGCTCCTCAGATTACTACGCCTCACAATATAGTACCCGTTTTATCCGCTGAGAAAATCAACTGTTACAATTCTGTGTTACTATACTTTGCAGTGTAACACGTCACGTAACTATATACATTTAATAGGGAACACTTGGAAGAGTTTGGTAGCTTCTAGCGGGAGCTACCTTTTGGTGCTACAAAATATACAGAGGAGGCTGCATTTGCGCTCCCGTTTTTGCTCCGTTTGCATGACAGAGCGCACGGACTAAGACCAGACAGGTACGTATTAACTAGTCTAAGGTAAGGTAAGAACATATGTCAGTATGTAAAAACGGTGAACTATTCCTTTAACCATCTTCAGTGTGGTACAGTCCATGGTTATGTTATTATCACATTAACCATCTTCAGTGTGGTAAGGTCCATGGTTATGTTATTATCACATTAACCATCTTCAGTGTGGTAAGGTCCATGGTTATGTTATTATCACATTAACCATCTTCAGTGTGGTAAGGTCCATGGTTATGTTATTATCACATTAACCATCTTCAGTAAGGTCCATGGTTATGTTATTATCACATTAACCATCTTCAGTGTGGTCAGGTCCATGGTTATGTTATTATCACATTAACCATCTTCAGTGTGGTCCATGGTTATGTTATTATCACATTAACCATCTTCAGTAAGGTCCATGGTTATGTTATTATCACATTAACCATCTTCAGTGTGGTAAGGTCCATGGTTATGTTATTATCACATTAACCATCTTCAGTGTGGTAAGGTCCATGGTTATGTTATTATCACATTAACCATCTTCAGTGTGGTCAGGTCCATGGTTATGTTATTATCACATTAACCATCTTCAGTGTGGTCAGGTCCATGGTTATGTTATTATCACATTAACCATCTTCAGTGTGGTCCATGGTTATGTTATTATCACATTAACCATCTTCAGTAAGGTCCATGGTTATGTTATTATCACATTAACCATCTTCAGTGTGGTCAGGTCCATGGTTATGTTATTATCACATTAACCATCTTCAGTGTGGTACGGTCCATGGTTATGTTATTATCACATTAACCATCTTCAGTGTGGTAAGGTCCATGGTTATGTTATTATCACATTAACCATCTTCAGTGTGGTAAGGTCCATGGTTATGTTATTATCACATTAACCATCTTCAGTAAGGTCCATGGTTATGTTATTATCACATTAACCATCTTCAGTGTGGTCCATGGTTATGTTATTATCACATTAACCATCTTCAGTGTGGTAAAGTCCATGGTTATGTTATTATCACATTAACCATCTTCAGTGTGGTAAGGTCCATGGTTATGTTATTATCACATTAACCATCTTCAGTGTGGTAAGGTCCATGGTTATGTTATTATCACATTAACCATCTTCAGTGCGGTAAGGTCCATGGTTATGTTATTATCACAGATAAAGCATCAAACTGACCATGATTCAGTTGAAATCAAAACAACTTGAGAGATACTACAAGGTAGTAGAGAGAGAGCAAGATGGCGCCGTGTCATGGCGCCGCAGTGAGAGCTCTAGTGCGCACAATCTGTGTTTTGTTGCTGTTTGTCTTTGAGTCACTTGCCACTGTAAAGTATGACCGAGAGGCACTTCTTAACATTCGGCACATTGCGTGTGACGGGTCACTCGTACTACCCGAACTGAGGTGCACTAACTTCCTCGAGTGTCCCACTCAAGAGGCCCGTGGAGCACGGCAGGCGGGTGGCCGCCAACAGAGCGAGGGGACTGGGCGTCTCCGGCGTTCTCTCCACGGTGTGGAGCTGGGCACCTCGAGTCGGCGAAGGAGGCGCAGACACCGGGGAAGGCGAGGCGGTCTGCTCGTTCGTAGCCGCTCCTCCAGGACCCCTTTGCCCTCCATCTACCTGGCCAACGTCCAGTCTCTGCCCAACAAGACGGACGAGCTCCTGTGTCGGGTCCAGAGCCAGCGCGAGGCCCGGGACTGTGCTGTGTTCTGCCTCAGCGAGACGTGGCTCCACTCCACTTCAGTCGCAATAGTTCTCATTTGCCTGTCGTAATCGACAACTACCAGGTGCAGATCGTAGAGGAGCAAGTTTCTGACCGGGTCGTTAAGAAAGCTCGTCAGCGTCTCTACTTTCTGCGTAAACTTAGAGAATTTACCACTAACTCTAAGATTGTGCTTAACTTTTATCGCTGCACCATTGAGAGTTGACTTGTTGGTTCTGTGTCTGTGTGGTTTGGAAACATCACAGATACAGAAAAGAGAGCTTTAAACAAGGTGCTCCGCTCTGCAAAGAGGACCGTGGGCTGTGAGCTTCCTGTTCTGGAGGTTCTTTATAAATCCAGACTTTTAAACAAAGCTCTTAGGATTGTTAATGACTCTTCTGGCCACCCTGGGAAAGCCATGTTCCAGCTTCTTCCCTCTGGCAGAAGATATCGCTCTCTGAGATGCAGGACAACTCGTTACGCTAACAGTTTTTATCCACAAGCTGTGATCAGTGTGAACAGAGCACTTTAATGATTTGCACTTGTTTTGAAACTGTTTTAGTCGATCCATTTCACAGTGACATTTGTTTACCGTTTTATTTGTTTTATTTCCGTCTTTTAATGTTGTTTTATGTCTGTATTTGTCTGTGCACACTGGAGACTTCTTGCTAATGTTTTCCAATGTGTTTTTTTTTTACTACAAATGGCACATAAACTGAATCTGAATCTCCAAAATGGGATCCACTCTTAACGACTGCAGCAGTGTCTGTGTAAAATGCAGTCAAATGTCCAGAACTCATCACCTCCATTTGCAACTTTGTCACTACACCTGCTTTTACCATCGGTAACAGGCTGAGAGTGCAGGACCAGTCCACACGGTCCAACACACCAGCATCAACAGCAGAACCAGCAACAACGCTCAAAACTCCTCTGATAGTTTCAGTAACACCACAAATGAATATGTGACATCAGTAACATCAGTCGATGGCAACATGTTGGTAAAAGCAAGTGGTTTCTCAGACCATGTCTGCAGCCTGTGAGAGTTTTAACAACTCTCTCACTGTGCGGCTGCGATGCTAAGTTATGGTTAGCACTCAGGCAGCTTGCGTTTACAGCAGCACTGACATCTTGTTCTGGGCACAGACAAACTGCCGTTTCTTCAGTGCCAGACATGTTTATCTTCTGTCCTCTCAATTCCCCCCTCAAAGTGCCGTATCGCAGAGTCTTGTCGTTTAAGATGTTATTCCTTCAGCACCGCTCTGGTGGAGCCACTACAGACGCACCCGACTCACTGCTGAGCGCGGCGGCGGCGGCGCGGATTTTAAAAACAAGTTATTATTATCATTTTACATAAATGAGCCGCGGGCCGTGTCAAATCTCTTGGCGGGCCGGTTCTGGCCCACGGGCCGCATGAATGACACCCCTGCTCTAGAACCTCTAGAAAGGGTGGTCCCCACAAGTGATGATTTGAAACTTGGTCCCCATGAAGAATGGAAACCAGTATTTGTGTGTGTGTTGTGTGTGTTATGTATTGTGTTGTGTGTGTGCGTTACCTTTCCGTCTCTGGGGTGACAGAGGCGTGACGTCGATGGAGGGCAGAGGTCTGTAGTTTGGTTGAATCGCAGGAAGAGGGATGTCAGGAAGAACAGGCACCACCTCCACCACCTTCATCAGAGCAGAAAGAATCAGTCACAACGGTCACACAACAGTCACACAACGGTCACACAACGGTCACACAACGGTCACACAACGGTCACACAACGGTCACACAACGGGGTCTCTCTCGGGGTCTCTCTCGAGGTCTCTCAGTCTTAGAGTAACAGACTGTAGAGAGGAGCTGGTGTGGGCTCCTCAGCTCTGTCTTATAAACAACAGCAGTTTGTTCACATCCCGAGGTTCCGGGACAGAGACCGAGACTCGGGTGGTTCTGATTCACATTGGAACATTCCTAAAGGTCTATGTGACATCACCTTCTTGCGTTTCTCCGGTCCTGGTCCGGAGCTGGACTTGGAGCTTGAATGCGGCCTCTTGCTGCTGCTGCCGTTGGACTTGTTCACTTTAGAGGAAGAGGACTGTGACGATGAAGGAGCAGAGGGCCGTGAGGAAGAGGAGTGGGGCGACCTGCTGTGGGAGGGGGGCACAGAGGGCGGCGGGGGCTTCTTCTTCTTTTTGACTGAACTCGGGGCATCATACGTGAGAAAGGACTCAAAGGACATGGTGGGGGTCTCGAAGGCTTCGTCTTCATCGTGTGTGGCGGAGTCTCTCACAGCCTTTGGTCGAACTGTGGAAGGAGAAAAATAATTTTTCTCATAAAATAAACACACAGTAAAATAAAACACACCATAAAATAACACAATAAAAAGAACCGTGGGAACATGAAAGGAGCAGTCAGAATCAAGCCGCAGTTACATCTTTACACCAAGTTTTTCGGACAGAAAAATTAAAAAAGATTTATTCACATAGTTTTACAGCAAAATGTATTATTCATGAAAAATAAAAACAGTGAAAACAGTGTTTAAGATTAAGATATAGGTTTTTACAAACGAACTAGGCTAAGTGGCCCGGACCGTCGCCACAGTGACGGTCCAGCTGGTGACGCTAAAACTAACTTCAGCGACGACCTCGGGGTCGAGTTGAGTTTCCGTTTCTCTTCCCGTTTACACTCTGCTACGGCAGCTAACATAGGGTGACCATACGTCCCGATTTACCCGGGACTGTCCCGATTTTGAGCACTGCGTCCCGTGTCCCGGCGGATTTCACAAGCCCCATTGTTTTGTCCCACTTTTACGCACGCTCCGTCCCGGGTGTCCCGATTTTTTTAGCCATGCATATGCAATGGTAAAAAGCTAATACAGCGCACAGTGGCTGAATCTTGTTGCCAATCACACAGTTGCCATAGCAATTCATAATATGAACCAATTGAAAAGATGAACAGTCCTCCGCGTGTCTGTAGCTTGATTCTCATTGGTCCATGGCATTGACATTAGATGTTCACAACAAAACGCTATGGATCAACATTTCTTATGCTGAACATGCCTAAAAGAAAGTCGAGGTTAACCCAAGAGCTCCTGGAACAGTACCGTTTCCTCAGGAAAGTACCGGGTAATGAAAATGCTGCCTTTTGTACACTTTGTAAGTGCGAGTTTTCCGTCGCTCATGGCGGAAAAGCCGACGTGCAGAGCCACAGTAAAACTAGCAAACACAAGAGATGGGAACAGGCGGGAAGTAGCTCTGTTAGCCCATTTTTCGGGCAAGCTGCGGCTGGTGATGAAGAACTTAAACGTGCTGCTCAGGAGGCCACATTTGCCTATCACCTTGTGAGGCACAATCACAGCTTTCGTTCAATGGACTGTACAGCTGGGCTGACGCGGAAATTTTATGACCAACGTTTTACCTGTGCTCGCACCAAAGCGGAGGCAATTGTTACGAATGTGATAGCCCCACATGCTATGGAGTTGCTGCAGGAGAACACCGCGGATGTTACTTTAGTCTCCGTCGCAGCGGACACATCAAACCGCAAAGCAGTAAAACTTCTCCCTGTTGTAATCCGCTACTTTACATTGACTGAGGGCGTGAGCGTCAAGATACTCAATTTTGTGTCACTACCAGGTGAGACATCCACCCTCCTTTTAATGAAGTCGAGCGTAGCCTGTCAGCTTTTGGTCTGATGGATAAAGTGATTGGCTTTTGTGCGGACAACACAAACACAAATTTTGGAGGAAAGGCAAGAAGAGGACAAAACAATGTGTTTTACAAACTTGATCAAGCCACCCCCTGCAGTTTGATCGGAGTAGGCTGTGCAGCACACATTGTGCACAATGCAGTGCAATCAGCAGCAGACACACTTCCCTGTGACATAGAGAACTTTGTTGTCAAGGTATTTGGATACTTTCACATTTACACCGTCAGAACTGAGGAGCTGAAAGATTTCTGTAATTTTGTTGAGGTTGAGCATGCCACGCTTCTGGGGACTAGCAGAACACGCTGGCTTTCACTGGGGCCCGCTGTTGAGGGTCCTGAAGCTTTACCCAGCTCTTCAGTCCTACTTCAGATCTCAAGATAAGGCTCCTAATTCTATTCTAAAGTTTCTTGAAGACCAAGTGTGCGAGGCATGGCTTTGGTTTATTCATAACCAACTGACACTTTTCAATGACACCATCAAACAACTGGAGAAGGAGAAGAGCTCTGCCATCCATTCTGCCCTGTACCTCTCCAGTCTTAAGGAAAAGCTTATGGAGAGGAAGGTTGCACTCTTCATGGGCTTAAAGGTGAGTTGTATGGATCATATAAAACTATAATAATACATACTTGTACACATTTGATAGCACTGTTATTTTTTTATTTGCATACAGTTGTATAAATTATAGTGTAAATAGCAGGGGTGTAACGGTTCAGCTATCTCACGGTTCAGAACAGTTCACGGTGCAGGACCCACGGTCCGGTGCATCACGGTGCTAGTGCGATATAATTGGCTAATAAATCAGTTTTGAAATAAAATAGCCTTAATGTTCATTATTAAGCAGTTTTTGTAATTTCAGAAATACATTGAAAATGCTAATTTTTCAAAGCTGCTTTACAATAAAATGTGCCCTAGGGCTAAAAAAACACACACACACAAAAACCACAGTGCTCTAAAGTTAAAGAAAAAAGTGCACTGGATTTATACTTTACCGCAGCCTGGCCATCATCAGCAGGAGAAACGTTTGCAAAGGCACGCGGATTTCATTTGTAGCACGGTGCATTGTTACACCCCTAGTAAATAGTAAATAGCAATTTAACAGTAACTATTCATGGTTTTATTAATTGCATAATGAAATGTTTTTTGTTTTTTAATTTAGGTGAAAAGTCTTCTGGTTGGCTTCCAAGAGCGCCATCAAGTGGATGTGTTCAAGAAAGGCGTCCAGAACTTCTATGACTGCTGCATCTCATACCTCCAGGAGTGGGGCTCTCCATTCACTGAGCTGAAGTGCCTCCTCTGGACACTGCTAGAGCATGCACCAGAGTGGGATGCATCTCATACCTCCAGGAGTGGGGCTCTCCATTCACTGAGCTGAAGTGCCTCCTCTGGACACTGCTAGAGCATGCACCAGAGTGGGATGCATCTCATACCTCCAGGAGTGGGGCTCTCCATTCACTGAGCTGAAGTGCCTCCTCTGGACACTGCTAGAGCATGCACCAGAGTGGGATGCATCTCATACCTCCAGGAGTGGGGCTCTCCATTCACTGAGCTGAAGTGCCTCCTCTGGACACTGCTAGAGCATGCACCAGAGTGGGATGAGGTTGAGTGCTCCCTGAGCTATGTCTCCACCAAGCTGCCACAGATGGACATCATTGAAACAGAGCTGTTTGATGAAGTCACTTCTCTCAAAACTTACACATCAGAAAAGATTGAACAGTGGAACACAATTTCAACACCTGCAGATGAGCGCTGGGCACAAATGTTCACACATTTTAAGTACAGACATGTTCCATTCAGAAACATTTTTGTTATCTGCCAGTTTGCCATGTGCCTTCCTGGCACAAATGCCCCTGTTGAGCGCATTTTCTCAATTATGAACAATACTTGGACTGATGAGAGAAACGTACGGGACTGGAAACTTTGAAAGTGCTGCTCATTACTCGGGTGAACGTTCAGTATAGTTGCTCTGAGTTCTATACAAGGACCAGTGACAACCGTAGCCTCTTGAAAAAGGTACAGTCAAGCATGAAATACTAGAGTCAGTAAGACTGTTCAGGGTTTTGCATTGAAGCACTGATTTTGTTTGTGCAATAAGGTTTGATATTTCAAAACAATTGATTGTTTAAATGTTATACATCTTTTGATTGTTTGGGAGCCACATTTTGACTGCAATAAAATTTCACTTCATTCGTTTGTGGTGAGAATTTGTCGTATAATTTTGGTATTAAAATGACCCAGTTTTTCATTTTGAAAATCTGGTCACCCTAAGCTAACAGCTACTGCTGCAGCTAACAGCTACTGCTGCAGCTAACAGCTACTGCTGCAGCTAACAGCTACTGCTGCAGCTAACAGCTACTGCTGCAGCTAACTGCTACTGCTACAGCTAACTGCTACTGCTACAGCTAACAGCTACTGCTGCAGCTAACTGCTACTGCTACAGCTAACAGCTACTGCTGCAGCTAACTGCTACTGCTGCAGCTAACAGCTACTGCTGCAGCTAACTGCTACTGCTGCAGCTAACTGCTACTGCTGCAGCTAACTGCTACTGCTGCAGCTAACAGCTACTGCTGCAGCTAACAGCTACTACTGCAGCTAACTGCTACGAGTGCGTAACGCACTGTTTGCGTCAGAGCAATAAGAACAAGTGTGAGACGTGTGCTTCCCCAAAGGGTGTGAGTGTGAGTAGTAAGTAATAGTAGTAATCTTTATTTATATACCGCCTTTTCACTGCAGATCTGAGTCTCAAAGCGGTTTACAATTGTTAATTTTGGGCACTTGTCTCTCACTCCACACAGAGATGGGAGCGGGGCCAGTACAGGAGGCACATGTCAGAACTATTGTGCATATTTTTAGTGGTAGGGGAAACCGGAGTACCCGGAGGAAACCTACGCAGACACGGGGAGAACATGCAAACTCCACTCAGAAAGCCCCTGGTCCGACCGGGATTCGAACCCAGGACCTTCTTGCTGAGAGGTGAGAGTGCAATCCACTCAGCCACCGTGCCGCCAATGTGTACGGTGGCTGTGAGTGCGTGTGCGCGAGTGAGTGTGTGTGTTCGTTCCTGAAAAAAAGTGTGTTATGTGTCAGAACCCTGGTGGTGGGTTGCAGGATATCAAGGAGGGGCACACTGGGGCAATTTCAGTCCAGCAGGCTGGAGCCAATCATGGAGCAGCACAACAGAGGCTGGAGCCAATCATGGAGCAGCACAACAGAGGCTGGAGCCAATCATGGAGCAGCACAACAGAGGCTGGAGCCAATCATGGAGCAGCACAACAGAGGCTGGAGCCAATCATGGAGCAGCACAACAGAGGCTGGAGCCAATCATGGAGCAGCACAACAGAGGAAATCAGGTGTCAGGCTAGAAAAGGTGCAAGTGTGTGGTTCATTAGGCTGCAGCCAATCACAGAGCAGCACACTGAAGCGCACGCTAACAAACCACTGGTAAGTGCTGACTACAAGTCATGACTTCAAATTGTTATATAGAATGATTACAAATTATTTGTTGTTTGTGCAGCTTAGTCAAGAGTCCCTAATTGATGAAGTCGACTCAGATTCTGACGATTTAACTGTCAAGAAGAAACCTGTAAAAAAGTATGGAAAAAGAAAAATCAAAAACACTTTTCTTCAAGACTCGGAAAGTGACGAACCAAAGGCAAATAAGATTGTTATCATGCAGCTGCAAAAGAAGAAAAATGGGGGGCGAGTTTACAGCAAGAGACACTTCTGCCTCTACTGTTCAATGTCCTGCCACAAAATGTCCCGTCATTTGACTAGAAAACATGGAAATGAAAGTGACGTAGCCAGAGCATTGGCTCTACCTGTGAAATCTAAAGCACGTAAACTTCAGTTTGATTTGATCAGGAATAGTGGAAACCGTGAGCACAATGTTGAGGTTTTAAAGGCCGGCATTGGAACTTTAGTCCCAGCTAAACAGCCAAATTCCCCAGTTAAATCCAGTGAGTTTTTGCACTGTATAGACTGTGGGGCATTGCTTAAGCGAAAGTCGCTGTGGAGGCATGTGGCCAGGTGCCGGCTTTCACAGAAAGATGCCCAGGCTAAACCAGGCTAAACCAGGCTAAACCAGGCTAAACCAGGTAGAAGTAGGGTCCAGTCCCTCTGCTCCCTAGCCCAGCCTGTACCGGAGGGCATCAGCAAAAAGCTGTGGTCTTTAATTTGGGCAATGCATCAGGATGAGGTCACGGGTGTTGTCAAAGCAGAAAAGGGGATTCTGAGACTCGGAGAGCACCTGTACTTAAAACACGGGCATGATAAGACTACGCATGATTACATTAGGCAGAAAATGAGAGAAGTCGGTAGGTTAATTAACGAAGCAAAAACCGCAGGGAAACTGAAAACAATTAAGGATTTCTTTATTCCTTCCAACTTTAACCATGTGATTGATGCAGTCAGGTCTGTGGCTGGATATGATGAGGAAACAAATCAATACAAGACTCCATCCTTGGCCCTCAAACTCGGCCATAGCCTCAGAAAGCTAGCAGATATTCTTGAATGTGACTCAAAAATGGAGCATTGTGTTGATGAACTATTTATTAAAAACCTCCAACGAAGCCGGCTGCTTTTTGAGAAGAGGTGGGACGTCTGTGTTTCTTCTGCTGCCCTACAGACCCTCCGGCAAGCCAAGTGGAACACTCCGGACCTGCTCCCTCTGACTGAGGACGTTAGAGCCATGCATGCACATATTGAGGTATGTCGACCTGAATATGTGCAAACCCTAATAAGTGAGCCAACGTCTAAGCATTGGTCTAAACTGGCAGTTTTGACTCTTTGTGAGGTCATCATTTTCAATCGAAAAGGGAAGGTGAGGTTTCAAAGATGCCACTGACAGCCTTTACCTTAAGAAGTAAGACTGGGATCCATTCTGACATTGCTCTGGGACTGTCCCAACTTGAGAAAAAGCTGTGTCAGCATTTTCAACGCATTGAAATTAAAGGGAAAAGAAGTCAGAAAGTGCCGGTTCTTTTGACTCCTGAAATGATTGCTTGGATGGAGGTGCTGGTGGAGAACAGAAGGGCCTGTTCCATCTCTGACCATAACCCATACTTCTTTTCCCGCCCAGGCGCAGACACCCACATCAGGGGATCAGACTCCCTACGCCAGGTAGCCAAAGAATGTGGTGCGGTGCATCCAGAGATGCTATCCTCAACCAAACTTAGAAAGCACATAGCTACTATGTCTACAGTTCTCAATATGAAAGAGAATGAGATGGACATACTTGCCAACTTCCTCGGCCATGACATTCGCATCCACAGGCAATATTACAGACTACCAGAGGGGACACTGGAGCTGGCCAAAATCAGCAAAGTGTTGATGGCCATGGAGCAGGGAAGAGTGACGGAATTCAAAGGAAAGAGCCTCGACCAGATACAAATTGAGCCTGAAGGTAATTCTTGATATTATTAAAATATGTATGATTTTTTTCCCCTAAAGGCCACTTGTATTTTTATTTTCTGTGCTACAGGGAGAGCAGTAGAGATCCTCTCACAAACGGACGGGCTAAAACAAACTTCAAGCGGAGAACCTTCAACCATTCATCCAGATGCACCCCATGGTAGTGGCAGTGCCCCTTCTGGTAAGTGTACCAGGTGGGGGATTACAGCCAGGCTGCTTGGTCCTAACCCTGGGAGTGTATATTGCTAATATATTTTTATTTCTCTCCCTAGAACGTGTAAGAAAGCCATGGTCTGCATCTGAGGTGAAGGCTGTGGAGAAGACCATGACACCTTTCATACAGACTGGAAAGGTCCCTGGGAAGTCTCACTGCCTGGCCTGGCCTGGCCTGGCCTGCATTAATGCCTCACCAGATGACCTTAGACATCGGACATGGAGTGGCATTAAATTCTATGTCAAAAATAGAATCACTGCAATTCGAAAAAAAAATCAAAAATAAAATTCCTTTAAAAGAGTTGTTTGGTTTCTATTGACTGTTTTGTATTACTTAACGTAGTCCCAGTAAAAAAAGATTATGTCTATGGGTCCCATTCTGAACGGCCCTGTCAAAGGGACCCACCAGGTAACGTGTGTGTGTGTGTGTGTGCGTGAGTGTTCTGGTGATTAAATAAAGTGATTCTTGAATGTCTGAAGTGTTATTGCACCAACACCACACTGAGAGCGAGGGTCAGGACAGAGAGTTATTCCTGTATTCCTGGCCCTGGGGCGACACATCCCCTTGCGCCCCTCGACCACGGCCCCCTGCGCCCCTCGACCACGGCCCCCTGCGCCCCTCGACCACGGTCCGGGGCTTATATGAAAGGTTTAACAGAAGCGGAGAATATGGAAGTGCAGAGACGTGTGTGAAAATGTGACGTACAATATCACGGCCCACTATGGCCCCCCTCATCTGGGCTTCATAACCGTGCCCAAGCCCAGGCGCCGCGGTCACACAGCACCTCAAGCCCGGATCTAATCGGGCCAGGCCCAGTTTAACGGGCACAGCTTTAGGCTCCTCCTCCTCGGCAGAGCCGCCTCCTCAGCAGAGCCTCCTCAGCAGAGCCTCCTCAGCAGAGCGTCCTCAGCAGAGCGTCCTCAGCAGAGCCTCCTCAGCAGAGCCTCCTCAGCAGAGCCTCCTCAGCAGAGCCTCCTCAGCAGAGCCTCCTCAGCAGAGCGTCCTCAGCAGAGCGTCCTCAGCAGAGCGTCCTCAGCAGAGCGTCTCAGCAGAGCGTCCTCAGCAGAGCGTCCTCAGCAGAGCGTCCTCAGCAGAGCGTCCTCAGCAGAGCGTCCTCAGCAGAGCGTCCTCAGCAGAGCGTCCTCAGCAGAGCGTCCTCAGCAGAGCGTCCTCAGCAGAGCTCACCGCAGAGCGTCAAGCGTCCTCAGCAGAGCGTCCTCAGCAGTAGAGCGTCCTCAGCAGTAGAGCGTCCTCAGCAGTAGAGCGTCCTCAGCAGTAGAGCGTCCTCAGCAGTAGAGCGTCCTCAGCAGTAGAGCGTCCTCAGCAGAACCTCCTCGCCATACACTGCAGGAGGACAGTCCCCTGGGGGGCCCCTACACTGCAGGAGGACAGTCCCCTGGGGGGCCCCTACACTGCAGGAGGACTGTCCCCTGGGGGGCCCCCACACTGCAGGTCAGGACCTCAGACACAAAGTCCCTGGTTCTCACAAACTGGGGTCTGTCTGTGAGGTAGTCCAGGATCCACTGGGACAGGTCGTAGTCCACTCCGGCTGTCTCCAGTTTGTCCCTGAGAAGCTGCGGCTGGATGGTGCTGAAGGCGATGGAGAAGTCGAAGAAGAGGATCCTCACAGCGGAGCCGGGTTTCTCCAGGTGGGACAGCGAGCGATGCTCGGTCCTCAGCCCAGACGCCCCGGCTCGGTCCTCAGCCCCGACGCCCGGCCGGTAGACGAACCGCAAACTTTGCTTTATTGATCCCGTCAGTGTAAACTTTCAAGCTCAGCAGAATTTATTTTGAGAACAAAATGAGTAACTGTGTCGCTGTGACACAGGAACAGGTCAAAAACACATGTTTCTCAGAAGAATCTACATTTCCAAACAAACAAGAGTTTTAACACAAAAAGATTCTAAACTGTTCTGTTCTGTGTAAATGTGTTCTGTGTGAGCGTGACTAAAGAGAGAGTGTGTAAATGTGGGAAACTCACTGCAGTCTCCTCGTCCCTTCTTGTCCTCCTTCTTGTCCTCCTTCTTGTCCTCCTTCTTGTCCTCCCTCTTGTCCTCCCTCTTGTCCTCCCTCTTGTCCTCCCTCTTGTCCTCCCTCTTGTCCTCCCTCTTGTCCTCCCTCTTGTCCTCCCTCTTGTCCTCCCTCTTGTCCTCCCTCTTGTCCTCCCTCTTGTCCTCCCTCTTGGTTTCCTGAGAGGAGGGTTTCTTCTGTTTTGGAGTCTTCTCTGGACTCTCCTGGTTCTCGAGCCGGGCCTCCTCTTTCTTCTTACCCTCTTTGCGGTCACTGCTACCGGGCCGCCGCTCCTCCGTCTTGTGGAGGTCCTTGTGGAGGTCCTTGTGGAGGTCCTTGTGGAGGTCCTTGTGGAGGTCTTTTGCAGGTTTGCTGCTGTGTTTCAGGTCTTTTCTGGGAGGTGGAGGCGCAGGCGGAGGGCTGGGCTGTGGCCAGAGGACAATACATCATTATTTCTACTTCCCAAACTGTAAATACAGAGAAAGCCATTCATCCACCCATCATCCACCCATCATCCACCCATCATCCACCCATCATCCATCCACCCATCATCCACCCACCCATCCACCCATCCATCCACCCATCCATCCACCCATCCATCCACCCATCATCCATCCACCCATCATCCATCCACCCATCCATCCACCCATCATCCACCCATCCATCCACCCATCATCCATCCACCCATCATCCATCCACCCCCATCCACCCATCATCCACCCATCATCCACCCATCCATCCACCCATCATCCATCCACCCATCCATCCCATCCATCCACCCACCCATCATCCATCCACCCATCATCCACCCATCATCCACCCATCATCCATCCACCCATCCATCCACCCATCCACCCATCCATCCACCCCATCCACCCATCCATCCACCCATCATCCACCCATCATCCATCCACCCATCCATCCACCCATCATCCACCATCACCCATCCACCCATCCATCACCCCATCCATCCACCCATCCACCTCACCATCCATCATCCACCATCCATCCATCCATCACCCATCATCCACCCATCATCCACCCATCCATCCACCCATCATCCACCCATCATCCATCCACCCATCCATCCACCCATCCATCCACCCATTCCATCCACCCATCCATCCATCCCACATCCATCCACCCATCCATCCACCCATCCATCCACCCATCCACCCATCATCCATCCACCCATCACACCCATCCATCCACCATCCATCCACCATCCACCCTCCATCACCCATCATCCACCTCCATCCACCCATCCATCCACCCATCCATCCACCCATCCATCCATCATCCACCCATCATCCACCCATCCATCCACCCATCATCCATCCATCCCCATCCATCCACCCATCATCCATCCACCCATCCATCCACCCCATCCATCCACCCATCCATCCACCCACCATCCATCCACCCATCATCCACCCATCATCCACCCATCATCCACCCATCATCCATCCACCCATCCATCCACCCATCATCCACCCATCATCCACCCATCATCCACCCATCATCCATCCACCCATCCATCCACCCATCCATCCACCCATCATCCACCCATCCATCCACCCATCATCCATCCACCCATCCATCCACCCATCATCCATCCCCCATCCATCCACCCATCATCCACCCATCCATCCACCCATCATCCACCCATCATCCATCCACCCATCCATCCACCCATCATCATCCACCCATCCATCCACCCATCCATCCACCATCCCCATCCACCCATCCATCCACCCATCCATCCACCCATCATCCACCCATCATCCATCCACCCATCCATCCACCCATCATCCACCCATCCATCCACCCATCCATCCACCCATCATCCCATCCACCCATCCATCCACCATCATCCACCACCATCCATCCACCCATCCATCCACCCATCCATCCACCCATCCATCCACCCATCCATCCACCCATCCATCCACCCATCCATCCACCCCATCCATCCACCCATCCATCCACCCCATCCATCATCCACCCATCATCCACCCATCCACCCATCCATCCACCATCATCCACCCATCATCCACCCATCACCATCCATCCATCCATCCACCCATCCATCCACCCATCCATCCACCCATCCATCCACCCATCCATCCACCCATCCATCCACCCATCCATCCACCCATCCATCCACCCATCCATCCACCCATCCATCCACCCATCATCCACCATCCATCCACCCATCCATCCACCCCATCATCCACCCATCATCCATCCACCCATCCATCCACCCATCATCCACCCATCATCCATCCACCCATCCATCCATCATCCATCCACCCATCCATCCACCCATCATCCACCCATCCATCCACCCATCATCCACCCATCATCCATCTTCCTCTGCTTCATCTAAACAGAAACCCTCAGACCTCCCTCTCCACAAACACATGTCTCCCTCATGAGCTGGGGGACATGAGGGAGACATGAGGGGTCCGTCTCTCACTCCGGTCCGTCTCTCACTCTGGTCCGTCTCTCACTCCGGGTCCGTCTCTCACTCCGGGTAGTAGTAATCTTTATTTATATACCACATTTTCACTGCAGATCTGAGTCTCAAAGCGGTTTTACAATTGTTAATTATGGGCATTTGTCTCTCACTCCACACAGAGATGGGAGCGGGGCCAGTACAGGAGGCACATGCCAGAACTATTGGACATATTTTTAGTGGTAGGGGAAACCGGAGTACCCGGAGGAAACATGCAAACTCCACTCAGAAAGGCCCTGGTCCGACCGGGATTCGAACCCAGGACCTTCTTGCTGAGAGGCGAGAGTGCTATCCACTCAGCCACTGTGCCGCCCGTCTCTCACTCCGGTCCGTCTCTCACTCCGGTCCGTCTCTCACTCCGGGTCCGTCTCTCACTCCGGGTCCGTCTCTCACTCCGGGTCCGTCTCTCACTCCGGGTCCGTCTCTCACTCCGGGTCCGTCTCTCACTCTGGGTCCGTCTCTCACTCCGGGTCCGTCTCTCACTCGGGTCCGTCTCTCACTCTGGGTCCGTCTCTCACTCCGGGTCCGTCTCTCACTCGGGTCCGTCTCTCACTCTGGGTACGTCTCTCACTCCGGGTACGTCTCTCACTCCGGTCCGTCTCTCACTCTGGGTCCGTCTCTCACTCCGGGTACGTCTCTCACTCCGGGTACGTCTCTCACTCCGGTCCGTCTCTCACTCGGGTCCGTCTCTCACTCTGGGTCCGTCTCTCACTCTGGGTCCGTCTCTCACTCGGGTCCGTCTCTCACTCGGGTCCGTCTCTCACTCCGGGTACGTCTCTCACTCGGGTACGTCTCTCACTCCGGGTCCGTCTCTCACTCGGGTCCGTCTCTCACTCTGGGTCCGTCTCTCACTCGGGTCCGTCTCTCACTCCGGGTACGTCTCTCACTCGGGTACGTCTCTCACTCCGGGTCCGTCTCTCACTCGGGTCCGTCTCTCACTCCGGGTCCGTCTCTCACTCCGGGTCCGTCTCTCACTCTGGGTCCGTCTCTCACTCGGGTACGTCTCTCACTCCGGGTCCGTCTCTCACTCGGGTCCGTCTCTCACTCTGGGTCCGTCTCTCACTCGGGTCCGTCTCTCACTCCGGGTCCGTCTCTCACTCGGGTACGTCTCTCACTCTGGGTCCGTCTCTCACTCTGGGTCCGTCTCTCACTCGGGTACGTCTCTCACTCCGGGTCCGTCTCTCACTCGGGTCCGTCTCTCACTCTGGGTCCGTCTCTCACTCGGGTCCGTCTCTCACTCCGGGTCCGTCTCTCACTCGGGTCCGTCTCTCACTCCGGGTCCGTCTCTCACTCCGGGTCCGTCTCTCACTCCGGGTCCGTCTCTCACTCTGGGTCCGTCTCTCACTCGGGTACGTCTCTCACTCCGGGTCCGTCTCTCACTCGGGTCCGTCTCTCACTCTGGGTCCGTCTCTCACTCGGGTCCGTCTCTCACTCGGGTCCGTCTCTCACTCCGGGTCCGTCTCTCACTCGGGTACGTCTCTCACTCTGGGTCCGTCTCTCACTCTGGGTCCGTCTCTCACTCGGGTACGTCTCTCACTCCGGGTCCGTCTCTCACTCGGGTCCGTCTCTCACTCTGGGTCCGTCTCTCACTCGGGTCCGTCTCTCACTCCGGGTCCGTCTCTCACTCGGGTACGTCTCTCACTCCGGGTCCGTCTCTCACTCGGGTCCGTCTCTCACTCGGGTCCGTCTCTCACTCCGGGTCCGTCTCTCACTCTGGGTACGTCTCTCACTCCGGGTACGTCTCTCACTCCGGTCCGTCTCTCACTCTGGGTCCGTCTCTCACTCCGGGTACGTCTCTCACTCCGGGTACGTCTCTCACTCCGGTCCGTCTCTCACTCGGGTCCGTCTCTCACTCTGGGTCCGTCTCTCACTCTGGGTCCGTCTCTCACTCGGGTCCGTCTCTCACTCGGGTCCGTCTCTCACTCGGGTCCGTCTCTCACTCCGGGTCCGTCTCTCACTCGGGTACGTCTCTCACTCCGGGTCCGTCTCTCACTCGGGTACGTCTCTCACTCCGGGTCCGTCTCTCACTCCGGGTCCGTCTCTCACTCGGGTCCGTCTCTCACTCCGGGTCCGTCTCTCACTCGGGTCCGTCTCTCACTCGGGTCTGTCTCTCACTCTGGGTCCGTCTCTCACTCTGGGTCCGTCTCTCACTCTGGGTCCGTCTCTCACTCCGGGTCCGTCTCTCACTCCGGGTCCGTCTCTCACTCCGGGTCCGTCTCTCACTCCGGGTCCGTCTCTCACTCCGGGTCCGTCTCTCACTCCGGGTCCGTCTCTCACTCCGGGTCCGTCTCTCACTCGGGTCCGTCTCTCACTCTGGGTCCGTCTCTCACTCTGGGTCCGTCTCTCACTCTGGGTCCGTCTCTCACTCTGGTCCGTCTCTCACTCCGGGTCCGTCTCTCACTCCGGGTCCGTCTCTCACTCCGGGTCCGTCTCTCACTCCGGGTCCGTCTCTCACTCCGGGTCCGTCTCTCACTCCGGGTCCGTCTCTCACTCCGGGTCCGTCTCTCACTCCGGGTCCGTCTCTCACTCCGGGTCCGTCTCTCACTCCGGGTCCGTCTCTCACTCCGGGTCGTCTCACTCCGGGCCGTCTCTCACTCTGGGTCCGTCTCTCACTCTGGGTCCGTCTCTCACTCCGGGTCCGTCTCTCACTCTGGTCACCACTGCAGAGTAAGAGATCAGGGCCGGAGCTAAATCGTCTCTAAAGTGGTTCTATTCTCCTCCCTTTGATCCAGAGAAGCTCTGATCAATCGGTCACAGACCAGGACCAGGACCAGGACCGGAACCAGGATGAAATCACGTGATCAGGAGAATGAGCCTCGTGCTGATCGCCATCATTTTAAAGTTGAACATTTGCAGAAGTAAAAGGCTCGTTGCGGTCCTCACCTCGGGCTGGGGGCTGTCGTACTCATCAGACTGACAGCTGTTTCTCTGAGGAGAGCTGTACTGAGGAGAGTAGTTTTGGTGGTAGCCTTCCTCCTCCTCCTCCTCCTCGTGGTTGTATGAAGGCTCTGGGGAGGGTTCTGGAGAGGGTTCTGGGGAGGGTTCTGGGGAGGGGGAGGGTTCGCGTACCCGTTTGTGGGACTGGGGCTTGTGGTGGTGGCTGTTGGCCGGTCTAAACATTACAGAACACATAGATATTATTACTTTCTCATTAGAAAGTTTCCAAAGTCAGTCGTGTGAAAACACAAAATAACATGAAACTGTTGTTGACCTTTTGATCTTGGTGTTAAATGTGACTCATATTTGACTTAAACACGTTACAGACTTTTATAAATATTAAAACAGAAGCAATTACAGTCAGTAACACGTCAAATCACCTCATGTTCAAATCAAACAAATAACAGGAATTGAGAGATTTGTGATAAAACCACGTTAACGACACATGTTTGAGGCCGTTTTGGATCAGCTCGGATCAGCTCGGATCAGCTCGGAACGTACCGGTCTGAGGTCTGAGGTACCAGCTTCTTCCATTTGGCCACCAGGTTTTTGGCCAACTCTCCGACTATGTCATGCTTCCTCAAAGAATTCACAGCTTTGCCGACTCCAGTTTCCTGAAAATGTACAAAAAGTGGTGAAAAGATGAATATTTAGTCTGCACAGGTTTTACTTTAAACAAGACATTATTTAAACAGACTAAAGCTAAGGCCAGAAACATCACACGTCATTCACTCATTAATCACTCATGTGAAAAGTCTAAGACAGAAACATGGTGGACGACACAGCGGTTTGCATGTTCTCCTCATGTCTGCATAGGTTTCCTCCAGGTGCTGCGGTTTCCCCTACCACTCAAAACATGTGCAATAGTTCAGTGTTTGTGCGACTGAGGGACGACAGATGCAAAAGTGCTCATGCCCCCTGTGCCAAACAAATAAATGCATCTCAGGTTTGACACTCACCACCAGGATTTCCACCGTCATAGGAAGTTCCCCGAGTCGTCTGAGGGACTTTAACAACTGGAGACAGAGCAGGACGAAAAACATGTTTATTTAACACTTTCACCACGGATTCAGACGCATAATACAGATAATACTTTAGACTAACACACGAGATCCAAGAGCATTTTAGACCTTTGCTTCATAAGAATAATAATAACAATAATAACCTCTGCTACATGTTAAACTAGAGAATTAGCAGAAGAAGCTAAAACAATGCAGTATTTTCACCAGTTCCTTTCTGAACATCTTGGTTTTGTAAAACATGTAAAACGTTCAGATCTTAAATCAGCGCAACAACATGTCTTTGCTTGACTACTGCCCAAACAGAATTGAGATAAATTACATAATTCAGATTATAACCTTCAAAATAACAAGTCCGGCAACATTCTTATAGTAGTTTAATAATATAAACTACACATGTGTAATCCTTACAGGACACAGCTTTAGTCATCTCTGTGCTCTGTTACTACCATAAAGTAACTACTCTATACTAATAATAACAATAATATATATACTATATCAACACAAAAGTAAACTCAAACCTCAAGTAAGAATCTCTTGTTCAATGTATATTTTCAATAAACTTTTTAGCTGCATGTTTCCATGACTGAAGTGATTCACAAAAAGACATCGCACATTTAATTCTTACAGCTCTTGAAATAAGTTACAGCTAAAGATCACCTCAAGCAGAATTATAACCACATTATTAGTCAGTCAAGGCCTTGATGCTCACAACAAATGTCCACTCATCTCTGTGTCATTAATGTATGAATTCAACATTATTATTGATCATACAATTATTTTACCGTTTATTTAAGTATTTAGCATCATTATAGGAGCAGCTTTAAAATGAATGGGCATTGTCTGATTCACAGTATGTTTCTGTTAGCAGCACTGCTAACCCTGGCCTCACAGCCTGTATTTGCTCCAACAGACTCCATCAGTGGCGAGTTTCTAAAGGAAACCTGTGGCGTAAACACAAGGCGGAAGTACGACTCAAACTAACATTAAAAGGACGAATGTTTTATTTGATCTAAGTTAAAGCACCGTATTTACGATGACGTTTCATGAGGGCTTCAGGAGCTGCAGCAGGCGGTAGGAAATCCGAGTAGCATCGAGTTAACGGCGCTCTAGAAGAATGACACTTAAAATAAACTTAAAAGACGATGTGTTTGTGAAGCTTTGAGCTGCTGCATTATAATGAGGTTATCAGATAAAAAACCTTCATACACAATTACAAACTAAAAACAATGTCTGACAGCGATCAGCTCCATCTTACATTAACATAAAACAGAGGAAAAGTAAATTATACAGAGATAATTTACGACGTATGGAAACGTTACAAGAGTCTAGGTTCAGTCACAGCAATAACTAGCTATACATAAACATGCTAAAGTTATAATAAAGACTTCCGTTTGTATGAAAACTGATACAAATAATATTTCTGAGATCATCTAAAGCTGTTGTCATAGGTTTGTCCCAGTTATTTGCTGCTTTACTGTCGTAAAATGTGTCGATGCATTTTGATTAAAATTATTATTATTTTTATTGTATACAGAGATTGTAGCACAGAACCCTGCGGACCCTGAACGTGTGTGATCTGCGTGGCTTCTCTCGGGCCTTCGCGGACAAAGGCTGTGGTTCTGGGACAGCTGCGGACTCAGGAGCAGCTCTCCCCGGGGTCAGGTCTGCGGGGTCTGGTCCTACCTTTCGGGGCTCTTGATTCTCCTGTAACCTGGACTGAAGTCTGTCCACTGTCTCCAGCAGCTCATCCGCCATCTTTACTGAGGGCAGCGGACTACACCGGAAGCTGCTTCATTCCCGAGACAGGCCAACTTCCGCTCTGGCCAAAGAAAACTAGGGGATAAAATACTATAAAAGACGGAGTTGTGATACTGGTGAGCAATCATGACAACTTTAAAAAATCTGTTATATTATTATCATAACATATAATTAAATTATATATTGTACAAAACATGTTTAAAGTGTAATTATTATCTATTCTTTTATTATCATAAGGAGCAGTCTTCAATTTGGGAAAAGAGAAATTGAGCATAATTAAGTAATTTAAACTTGTAACAAGTTTTATAATTATTTGAATATCTGTCAATACATTTAGAAATCAGTTTTGAAATACAATGATTTTGTTGATTTATAGAAAGAATAATTGCTCAACTAATGAATGATGATAATAATCATCGATTACAGCCTCAGCTTAAACCAAGAATTAAGCACAATGTAGTGTTATGTATAATAGAAATGGATTCAAGATGGATTCTTGGGGAACACCAACTAAATTTGAATATAACATATAACATACATTTTGTTGTGAGATGTAATAGTAACCTCTGACAAAACAATATTTGTGCTGAGACCTAAAGCCTGAACCATGAGGCCACTGGTGGAGAATGAGGAGGGGCAGGGAGTCAAGTGGACCTGGGTATTTTTAGCAGGGTCGAGGTGCCACGGAGCTGCCTGTATTTGGAAATGGAGGTGGGAACAGGAGGAGCAAGAGCTGAAGGACTGTGGTCGATGCGTCACTGCTTTGGTCCAAACCCCAAATTTACCTCAACCTGTTTTTTTCATCCAAACACACAGCACCGGGCGCAGAGGACCAAGGACCAAGGGCACTTTGGAGAAGGTCAAGGAAGGAAGGGACTGGACTGGGTAAGAATAGGATCTAAACTTTTTAAATGTCTTGTTTATGCTCATTTCTATTTATCTGATGGAAAATTAGAAAATCTGATGTTTTGTTGAGTCGACTGTTTACAACAAAAGACTGAAGTTATTTAGAACAATCATTGTCAAGTTTTTATTAGTATTTATTTTAATGAGATCAGGCTCTTGTTAACTATTGCTAACTATTGTGTATGATTGACAGGTGTGATGTGTGTATGATTGACAGCTGTGATGTGTGTATGATTGACAGCTGTGATGTGTGTATGATTGACAGCTGTGATGTGTGTATGATTGACAGGTGTGATGTGTGTATGATTGACAGGTGTGATGTGTGTATGATTGACAGGTGTGATGTATGAGACCATTAAACGGTCTGTGACGTGTGACATCACTCGGGGGAGGTCCTGTTGTTGTTGATCTTTAAATAACTGTGACTCTAGAGTTTGTTTATTTTTTCAGGAGACATTTTCTCTTTTGCTTAATTTTGTTTCATAATGAAAGGTTCACGACGTCTGCGTTTGTGAAAATTGGAGTCTTGTTTATATCGAACGTGTCTTTGGCTCCTCATTTATCACCTCGAGTCAAAGTGACCTGTGATTTGTGGCCTTTGACCTTGTGACCTGCAACCTGTGACCTTGTGACCTGCAACCTGTGACCTGTGACCTGCAGGTGTTCACAGAGTTAAACCAGTGTGGGCGGGTCCCGGCTCAAAAGTGGCCAAAATGACGTGCGCCGACATGCTGCAATACCACCCCGGGCCTGTGGGGGTGGACCCGGAATAGGAATTAGCCAATGCTAACATATAGCATTAGCGGACCTCAGGAAAACGTCTTTACCATGGATCTATTATATTAACTGGATAGGGTATTACTAGCTTGTAGCTGAATAACTCACGTGCTCAGGGGATTCTCGCGGTACTGCAGACTGAACCAGACTGAACCAGACTGAACCAGACTAAATTCACGTGGGCTACCCAGAAATTTTCCCCATAGAACTCAATGCATATTAAAACAACCTCAGCTCAACCTCAGCTGACAGAGAACCTGACACAGAACCTGACAGAGAACCTGACAGAGAACCTGACAGAGAACCTGACAGAGAACCTGACAGAGAACCTACAGAGAACCTGACAGAGAACCTGACAGAGAACCTACAGAGAACCTGACAGAGAACCTGACAGAGAACCTGACAGAGAACCTGACAGAGAACCTACAGAGAACCTGACAGAGAACCTGACAGAGAACCTGACAGAGAACCTACAGCTTTCATAAAGGTCAGATTTTGTGGGGATGTTAGTGTCCCTTGTCATCCTGAACCTTTTTTCTTCTTAAATCCTTCGGTTTTGTTTAAATCCACACTTTAGTGCCACAAACTCTGCTCGTCTGGCTCTGGCTCTAACTCCCGCTCTGATGAACTGCTCTGATTGGTCAGAGCCGAGCCCCTCTGTGCACGTGCGTGAGACCCTCTGTGCACGTGCGTGAGACCCTCTGTGCACGTGCGTGAGACCCTCTGTGCACGTGCGTGAGACCCTCTGTGCACGTGCGTGAGACCCTCTGTGCACGTGCGTGAGACCCGGTGTGAGACCCACACACGCGTGTTTGGGGCAATGCATTATGGGAGATCATCCACTGCACAGAACCGGGAGGACCAGACGATGCCCAAATACAGGAGAGATTTCCCATAGATCTTTGAGAGTTTTCCATAGACCTTTGAGAGTTTCTCATAGACCTTTGAGAGTTTCCCATAGATCTTTGAGAGTTTCCCATAGATCTTTGAGAGTTTCCCATAGATCTTTGAGAGTTTCCCATAGATCTTTGAGAGTTTCCCATAGACCTTTGAGAGTTTCCCATAGACCTTTGAGAGTTTCCCATAGATCTTTGAGAGTTTCCATAGATCTTTGAGAGTTTCTCATAGATCTTTGAGAGTTTCCCATAGATCTTTGAGAGTTTCTCATAGATCTTTGAGAGTTTCCCATAGACCTTTGAGAGTTTCCCATAGATCTTTGAGAGTTTCCCATAGATCTTTGAGAGTTTCCCATAGATCTTTGAGAGTTTCTCATAGATCTTTGAGAGTTTCCCATAGATCTTTGAGAGTTTCCCATAGATCTTTGAGAGTTTCCCATAGATCTTTGAGAGTTTCTCATAGATCTTTGAGAGTTTCCCATAGATCTTTGAGAGTTTCCATAGATCTTTGAGAGTTTCCATAGATCTTTGAGAGTTTCTCATAGATCTTTGAGAGTTTCCCATAGACCTTTGAGAGTTTCCCATAGATCTTTGAGAGTTTCCCATAGATCTTTGAGAGTTTCCCATAGATCTTTGAGAGTTTCTCATAGATCTTTGAGAGTTTCCCATAGATCTTTGAGAGTTTCCCATAGATCTTTGAGAGTTTCCCATAGATCTTTGAGAGTTTCTCATAGATCTTTGAGAGTTTCCCATAGATCTTTGAGAGTTTCCATAGATCTTTGAGAGTTTCCCATAGATCTTTGAGAGTTTCCCATAGATCTTTGAGAGTTTCCCATAGATCTTTGAGAGTTTCCCATAGATCTTTGAGAGTTTCCCATAGATCTTTGAGAGTTTCTCATAGATCTTTGAGAGTTTCCCATAGATCTTTGAGAGTTTCCATAGATCTTTGAGAGTTTCCATAGATCTTTGAGAGTTTCCCATAGATCTTTGAGAGTTTCTCATAGATCTTTGAGAGTTTCCCATAGATCTTTGAGAGTTTCCCATAGATCTTTGAGAGTTTCCCATAGATCTTTGAGAGTTTCCCATAGATCTTTGAGAGTTTCCCATAGATCTTTGAGAGTTTCCCATAGATCTTTGAGAGTTTCCCATAGACCTTTGAGAGTTTCCCATAGACCTTTGAGAGTTTCCCATAGACCTTTGAGAGTTTCCCATAGATCTTTGAGAGTTTCCCATAGATCTTTGAGAGTTTCCCATAGACCTTTGAGAGTTTCCCATAGATCTTTGAGAGTTTCCCATAGATCTTTGAGAGTTTCCCATAGACCTTTGAGAGTTTCCCATAGATCTTTGAGAGTTTCCCATAGATCTTTGAGAGTTTCCCATAGATCTTTGAGAGTTTCTCATAGATCTTTGAGAGTTTCCCATAGATCTTTGAGAGTTTCCCATAGATCTTTGAGAGTTTCCCATAGATCTTTGAGAGTTTCCCATAGATCTTTGAGAGTTTCTCATAGATCTTTGAGAGTTTCCCATAGACCTTTGAGAGTTTCCCATAGATCTTTGAGAGTTTCCCATAGATCTTTGAGAGTTTCCCATAGACCTTTGAGAGTTTCCCATAGATCTTTGAGAGTTTCCCATAGATCTTTGAGAGTTTCCCATAGACCTTTGAGAGTTTCCCATAGATCTTTGAGAGTTTCCCATAGATCTTTGAGAGTTTCCCATAGATCTTTGAGAGTTTCCCATAGATCTTTGAGAGTTTCCCATAGATCTTTGAGAGTTTCCCATAGATCTTTGAGAGTTTCTCATAGATCTTTGAGAGTTTCCCATAGATCTTTGAGAGTTTCCCATAGATCTTTGAGAGTTTCCCATAGATCTTTGAGAGTTTCCCATAGATCTTTGAGAGTTTCTCATAGATCTTTGAGAGTTTCCCATAGACCTTTGAGAGTTTCCCATAGATCTTTGAGAGTTTCTCATAGATCTTTGAGAGTTTCCCATAGACCTTTGAGAGTTTCCCATAGATCTTTGAGAGTTTCCCATAGACCTTTGAGAGTTCCAGGCGACTTCCGCTAATCTTTCAGCCCCCGTGCCGTCACAAGGCGCCACTGAGCACGACCATTCATTTGAATAGGGCGCCATCTTGGATCGCCGGGGCTTGGTCTTTACAGGATGGTCCAAAAGTTGGCTCTTGGCCCAAAGCTCTGTTCCACATGTGTGTCAATGCTGAGGGGAGTGTTCTGGACCAGTCTTGTTTTGTCGCTGTGGACTTTAGAAGTCTCTCGTTAAATGAATGGATTTGGGCCATTTGTTAGAACGGCGTGACTACGTCTGTTAATATTTACAGTTTATGGTTTAAAGACAAACTGGGTCTAAAGATGTTTGGTTCTTTATCGTTAGCATGAAGCTATAATTAAACTATTGGTTCTT